TGAGCATTCTGTTCCAGCCAAAATACTTTCTGAAAAGGAAGACCTTCTCAAATGTGATGGAGACCGCAAGCAATTAATGGTACACGCCACTGCCAGGCCACGCTGCTTCGCAAAGATGAAATAAAACTCAAGTTACAGCACAGATGTATTTACCTTTCCAAGAAAAATAGACAGTCTTGCAGAAATGACTCCCCACCTGACAGCAAAGACGTCTCCGTTGCTGCTGTAGGAGAACCCATGACAAAAGAAGCTAAGTTTCCTGATTTAAAGTTGCCAAAATGAAGTTCCCAATTGTTCTTTTCTCCATATGGTTTGGAGTAAAGCTGTAGCCTGAAAGTAGTGAACCAGCTGAAACAGTATGTTCGGACCATATTTACGTGACTGCAAAGTAAACCATGATATACCATAGACTGCTTTTGATCTCACATACAGTAGTTCACCACAGTTTTGCAAATGGGAATTATTCTAGTATTTGTTCACCTTGATCTGTTGAAATACCAGGGCCATCGTGGCTGATAACGTAACCATGAAGAAACCGAAGAGGTTTTGGCTTAAATTACTTAAGCCTTTCAAAGACAACTACTTGGAAAATCATTAATAATTACCCGTAAAAAAACCCGCCTGTGAGTAGCTGGCAACAGTAATGAATAGCGATGACAGAAATATTCATCCTGCTTACCAAGATACGATTCCAGGGAGCGGTTTCTAGGGCATTTTACCAAACTGTATTTCTGTTATCTTAATAGCCAGTTTGTATAATTTTGCTTTTTCCTGTTATTTCACTTTTAATTGCCTTGTATCCTACTGTGTTGTTAAAGGAATCTGGAGTTTCTGGGCTCACATTAAAACCCTTTGGCACCAGAACATTACTGTACATTACTGTACTTTGATGTGCAATTTTGGACTGCAGTTTGAGGTCACTTAGTTGTGCTTTAAGAGGGTAGTTTTGTTGGAGTAGCTAGCATTGAAGAATAATGCAAAAAATACAAACAGGAAAAGATGCACAATGTGTATACATATGAATAAAAATCAATACCTATTTTTAAATTTAATTTTTTCAGGAAAACTGGCTATGAAAAGCAGTAAGACATGTCTAACATATCTATGGTCCCTCACTGTATAAGGTCAGAGTACAAAGGTTTTGCCAAGCATTTCAGATCTGGATTATCAGTTTGTGTTGAAATTTGCAACTACTGCAACTTCTGGGGATAGGTAACGGAAGCAGGCAGGTATTTTTCAGTGTTTTACTTCTTTAAAGAACTCAAATAACATCTTAGTTTAGAGGATTATTTTCAGATGTATTATTAAACAATGTTTGTATTTTTGGGAACAACAAATACATGATATTTAAATTAGACTAATATAATAATAAGGACCTTATGGTTCATAATTTTATTACCTACAAAACATTGTAGAAGTATGTTAACTCAGTGAACCTCCTGCTTCAAGTAATTCATTTCTTAAAATACACCGAGATGTTTTAGCAATTTTTAAAGGGTATAATTAGCTCCAGGTCTTTTGTTTTTCAAAAAAGGCATGACTTTTATTCAATTTTATGCTATCAGTTTTATTTAATCCTCATTCCTTTATGCAAAAGATACAAAGCTTTTTAAAAAATCAGCAGTTTCGCTGCATTGCTTACGAACGTATAAACCCATGATGAAAGACTGTCTTAATCTTGAGGGATCAAGATAACAGCTTATAATCACACATGTACATCGGCCTTGACCTTTTTTCTGTAAGAAAAATGTAGTTTCCAACTCATCACAGGGATTGTTATGCAAGTCTACATTATTTTAGAATTCCACATGAAACAATTTCCCCTTTGCAATGTCATAGTCCTGCATTGGTAGCCTCAATTTTTATGAACAATTGTTCTTGACTGTGAAAGGTCAAAAAATTCCAAAAATGAATATAATCCCTTTTAATTTACAGATTATCTCTGCTCTTTTCCCTTCAAGAAACATCACGTACCACTGGAGGCACAGGGGATATAACTTAAGGACACAGGGGCTGAGGATAGCTTTGATTTATTGGGTAATTTGCAATGCTTTTAGGAAAATGGCAGAATGTTTCAGTCCAGTCTCAGTAAACTACTTCATATTGTGCTGCACTCATGCTCCCTGGCTCATTTGTAATACATCACCACTGAATCACATCTAGTTGAGGTTCATAAAAACTCGCCTGTCTGAATTCTCACTAAATTCTTGTCTGTCAATTCCTGGACAAAAATATTTTCTCCCTTGTTCCCCTGTGGGGCTGTTCCCATGGTACTGCAAACTACTGTTTACAATGTTAATACAAAAGAGCTTCGAGCTACAGTACTTTCTAGAACAATGGTACCAGTAGAATGGTTGGGACAATCAATTGATGTTAACAGTGTTTAGAAAATGTCATATGTTACACAATAACAAGAAGAAATAATATTTTTACACACCGATGCATCCAAACAGGGGGACTATGAGGGTAAAGCATTCTTCAATGGATCATTGAAAAATAGCGGTGAAATACGTGTTATCTGCATCTATCTATAATCAAACATTTGAAAACTTGGTGAACCCTGGGATATTTAAAATTGAATGGGCTTTCCTATTTAAATACAGTATCATACAGACTTAAAATTAATTTCCAAAATAACTGTAAATCTTAAGAGCAAATTAGTCAGTCAAAGATGTTATTGAAGTGCACGACTTGTATAAGTTGCATTTTGTTTTGTCTTGTTTTTTAACTGTTGTATTTACTGATTTAAAAATCAATCAAAGACATTATTAAAAGAACAAATTCTACAGCTGCTTGATGGAATAAAAAACAAGCACACGTGCCTGGCTCCCCAGACTTAACCCAAAGAAGCTAATTTAAAATTTGGTGGATAAGAAATCTGTTTTTTTGTGAATTTTTTGCCTGCACTTTGTTACTATACTGTATGTGCTAGCAGCACAGGTGAAGGAAACTATTGTTTTCCAATATCAGATTAAAACAAGGCTTTACAAGGATGACTTAGAAACCATTGAGTTGGAGAACAGTTCATGCACTGATTTGCCTGTGAATTAGATGTCCGGTCATTCAGATTCTACAAATTAACTGAATCGCAACAGAGACCCACATTCTATCCAGGGTGAAAGCAGTATGGAAGGAACTGCTTTGCTCTTGATAGGAAACACAAAAATTGCTAATAAGAGGGTGGCTTTGCTCCCTAGGCAGATTAATCAGTTTATTTCATTTTGTCCCATAAAGTGCAATACAAGTATATGGCACGCCAGACAGGAAGAATTGCTTGTTGATTTTAGTTTAATTACTACAGTATGTCCCCATATGCATAGTAAAACAAAAGTAATCTAAAGTATTGTCAGAGACATTTACAAGGTACTGCATAAAATAAATGGAACAACATCACGTCATGCTGACAAGTAGAGCAATAAAATAGTCTTAAGTTTAATAATCCTCCCTACCAGAATTCTGTTTATGAATACTTTTTTCTGACATGGCTAGATACAAACATTATAAAATTGAAAGACGCAATTCTGCCTCTCAAGCTATTCAATTAAATTCAACTTTATTGTCATTAAACTTACACAGGTGCATAGTATAATGAAAAGTGTTTCTCATTAGTCACTCAGGTGCAGTATATAAATAGGACAGAAGATAAGACAATAGACAGTTACACAATAGCAATAACAGTAACATGTAATAACATAACATAAATAACATGTAACCAAGTAATCAAAACTGTGCAAAATTCCGCAAACAGAGAAAATATAACAGGACAAAAACAGTGCAAAGTAATTCTTGGAACAGTGCAAAAATAATATGGTTAAAAATAGTATGGTTAATTAATAAATATTAAATATTATTACGACCGGTACAGTTTTACTGGGCTATCGAGGGGACAGTACAATTTCGGCTTACGTGTGTGTGGTGGTGTAGGAGTACAGTGGTTGTGGGTACAGGAAGACGTTAGGAGAGATCATAATATGGTGGGAGGGAGTGGGGGCGTCACCAACTTGACAGCTCTGGGGAAGAAACTATTTTGGAGCTTCTTCCAAAATAGCTTTGGAAGAAACTATTCTGATTGCCCTGCGAATTGGAGGGTCTCAGTGATTAAACGTTGTCTGGAAGGATCCCTGTGCTTTCCATGACTTTGGTCATTTTGTGCCTGCAAGTACGATTCACCGTGCAATGGAGTGTCTCCTCTCCTCGAGTTATGAGCCTTATCATGATTTAACTGGTTTAACTGGAAAGACGCGAGGAGGGAATGGAAGAGACAGCGGGGTCAGTGGACGCTGTAACCACACAGCGAATGGACATTCAGGCACAGTGAGAAGGGGGAGACCACCCCTGAGCAGTGCACTATTTCTGATCAATGATGTTCTCCACACTGGGGGTTGCCTCACTCCAGGGCTAATCCTGCTTTTAAAAACTCATTTCAAAATACCGGGATTGCTTTATGAAGGAGCAATGCAGTGCAGTGCTTCGATTCCTAATGCGCGCACGACTCCAAACTCCAACGGCTCCCACAGTCAAGAAATACAATACATGCTGGCCCTCTTGCACTCAGCATACCTTCTCACTGAGTTCTCAACTTTTTTTTCCCCCTGTCACACCTTCTCACAATTGGCCTCGACAAGTGCCTTGGAACTCCTGTGGCTGCCAGATTTGTGAGTAACAGCCATGAGGAAAAATGACAGCCGCGGGTCACGTCAGACAGTGTTTTCCATCATGTTTCAAACGCCTGTCTGTCAGGGCCGTTGTGTTATAAGGGGTAGCTATGTAGAGTTCTGTAGTTGTCCACACTGCTGTGATGACTCAAGTGAGATACCTTATTCAGGTTGCTCCAGTTGTATAAACAGGTACTAAAACAGGTCTGGAAGAGAGGAAATTGTAATCATCACCATGGACAAAAGCTCTTTTTTTTTTTAATTACAATGCTATAGAGTCAATCCGACAGCTTCTGAATTTGCTGAATTTGAGCCTCCTAAATATCTGTTCTTTCTTCCATTTAGAAAATCGGTAGAAAACCAGGCCCCAGCGTTTTCTCCTCATGGCTCAGAAACAGGCGTGTCAATCATGCCTGGAGAAATCCTGCAGCACAGATGACTTCATGGTCGCAGGGTTGTTGAACTAATGAAACTCATGTGCCGCCTGAAGATATGAGGTAAAACAATGAAACACTTCAGAAAAAAAACGAATACAATTAGATAGGTTAACACACGAGAAGATTCAAGTGGAACTAACACTGCTGGGAAGTTTCACATCTGTAATCACACCATCAATACACTTTAATGTGTTTGACATTCGTTGTGCTTATTTTGGCTGTAATCAGGCAGCATGAATAAAAAAACACTCCCATTAAATTCTAGAGACCTCAATTGCATCACAGCACTGTTTTGCATTGTGTAGTATATTATAAGCTGCTCCTTTTGCACAAGCCACACAAAAAAAACAGACCTCCTGGGCAGAGCACAGATGCAACAATGTGATTATAAACAATAGGAAATGACAGTTGATAATACCTGCTGTACTTGTCTTAGTGTGCATGTGATAGTACAATACAGTTCCAATTCTTCTACAGATGGAAACGTTGTTTTGTAGTTGGCGTGCGTGCAAAAGGTGACAGTAGCTTACAATGGTGTACAAAATGTCACTCAGGATAAACATTTCTCTGTGAAGTCTGTACTAAGCACTTGTAATAAGAAAATAATACAAAATAACATAAGAAAGGCTACAAGTGAGAGGTGGCTATTTGAATCTTCTCTCACTTGTTTGGTACTTAGTAGTTAACTGATCTAAGAATCTCATCAGTTGCTTGAAAATAATTGGGTTATCAGCATTAACAAAATAACTAAGTAAGTTGTTCCATACTTCCACACCCTTGTGGGTAAGAAGTTGCCTCCTGTTCTCAGGTTTTTGAAATGCACTTCCCTGTAGTTTCCACTTCTAGTGTCCTCTGGTGTCTCTTTCACCATTCAATCTGAAGAACTCTGCTGGGCGGACTTTGTGAATGCGTTAGAGAATTGTGAAGACTTGAATAAGGTATCCTTGTAATCTTCTCCATTCAAGGTTCTTCTCCGGCTTAGATCCAGAGAAGCAATATCATTTTTGAAACCTGGTGACCACGTCATACACAATGTATTAATCTTGCTAATGCATTGTAATGTTAAAATTGTTCACCCTGATTAAATTAAATTACATTCTATACTTTTAACTACGTATCCTATTTCCCTACTTTGTCTAGAAGATTAAGATGGTGCTTCTTCTAGCTCAGTGTTTCCCACTATATATTCATAGTTTGCTGTTACTACCAACATGGAACATTGCACTTGCTAACATTGAATACCATCCACCAGGAACTTGAGGTTTTAAATCTATTTAATTCTACAGCTATCCCTGTGCAGCTCTTGCAAGTATTCCATAAAAGAAATATTTCCTACAGTAGCTCGATCCTGTATTTTCATTTCGAAGTCTCACATGGCCCCCAAAGACTTTTTCCATGTGTAAAATGTTCAACACTAATTTTTGCTCTGAAATCACCTCTCAGAGCTGATCAGTAGCTGGAGGTCAGCAGGGGAAATAAATGGCTAAAATCAGAGTTCTGAAGCCCTGCTACGCCTGACATTTTCTGACATGATCTTTCTTCCAGCTCTCATTTGAGTATTTTTTTATTTAGCTGGAATATGTGTATAAGAGTTCTAGAAAGTTGACTGTGTTCGGGACTATGTGTGATAGTTGTGGATGTAAACTGTGAACTGAATAAAATGAAGATAATAAATCTTCAAGCAGTTTGGCAGTGGTACAGCCTGGTTTCATATGAAACCCACCTGTAGCTGACTCTCTACAAACAGTTCTGAGCACACACATGGCAAAGGAGCAAATTAATCCAACATCCATTGATTAGGCCCCGTGGGTGGAAAGGAAATTTTAAGTTCAAAGCATGTTTGTCCTCCCTCAATCTCCTGCAATCTCGTGCGGGTTGCAAAGGTGAACTTTGGGGTGGCATTGTGAAGCAGAGAGGAAAGTGGAAGTAAAAATATAAGACATTTTTAATGAATAATAAGAAAAATTTTGAGCTCTGTCTGGGAAAAATCCACTGAAAAGCCTATCAATCAGGAAGATCAAAGAGTGACATCAAAAGTGCTTTTCGTGAAGAATTAGGAGTTGTCAGGAACAAGACAGATAGAGAGTCTGGCAGATTCAATTAATGGGGTTGTATTGAGTCTCCCAGTGAGTTGCTGGTTTATTTTGGAGAGTAGAGCAGTTCTTGCCTGGCTGGCTCTTTGTTCTTTTCTGAGCGGCCTGTACTTTTTTCCTCAAGAAAAATACTTCACTGTAATTGACATGAAACAAAAACTTTGCCATTCTCCCAGGAGGACAGAAATAGCTGTCCCAGGCTTCTTATTCCTTAGGCATCTTTTATAGCTAGTCATGTAATACAACACAAGGTACAGTAGTCCACTTCAGAAGATGAGAGCAGGAGGTTGGCTGTCGCTGTAGAAATGCTTTCCCTCGCTGTTTTTATAGTGCATTTTTTATTTTCAGTACAAAGCTACACCAAAGATTACGATTAGAAACTTCATCATGATTGTAGAATGGTTATTGGTTATTGGTAATATCCACCGCTCATCAGAAAAGGTCACAGTCACCCAGAGTCCATCCTGGCAGACACAGAGAGCAAGACAGGATCTCATCCTGAACAAGACACCAGTCCACTGTAGAGCCCCCACACACAAGCACAAAGGGATAACTTTAATTTAATGAACCTTGTTATCATGAGTTTGAAAAGTAAATCACCTGGTGAAACTGCACACATACAATGAGGCCACCATGCAAACTCCATAAAGAAGACACAGTGTCCACAATCAGTTTCAGGACCCGACAGCTGTAACATAGCAGCACTGACTTTCAAGTCACCATGCTGCCCTAAATTAAAACGTTCATCACAAAATATGAATATGAATGTGCTATTAATTCACATTCCTTTTTCACAGTTGCTGCGCAATAAATCCTTGATTGTACTGTGCCAGACGAAACTCTGTGTGAAGACCTAACAGATTAGAATTGGGCAGCTGATGTTATCAAGTTATTTTAGTCTCTGAAATGTAAGAAATTACAAAAACAAAGAGCTTATAGTAAAGCCAGAATAGACATTCTAAATAAAACACAAGATGCTACGATTCTGAAATAGTCTTCAAATTGAACCAGAGACTTTCCAGGCGTGTCCTAATGCTTTCTAAATCAAAGACTACACAATAATACAATCATTGCCATGTACAGTGCCAGTGGGATTCAACACATTATCTGTGTTTTCTGTTTTACTATATGTGTGTTTCTTTATTTGTCACAACTCCAGACCTATTTTGTCTTTGTTTGTCTTTATTTAGTGGTTAGTGGCCATGATAACTGTTTGCTGTAAAATTAGATTCGGGAGAATCTCCACATCTAATTGCTAGGAAGCTGCCACATGTTTAGAGATAGCAGAAATGCTAAAAAAAAAAACACCTCTCTCATTGCTCACTTTAAGCCATTATCACAGACATTCAGTCCAGTTTTAAGACTATTTTACAGTGTCTCTCTGACCACTTTTATAACCCATTTTTGTGACCTATCCCTAGGCTGCCCAACCAGCAGACAGCCATTTATTTTTATGTACAGTAGTTACTGCCCTTCATTTCACATAAAACAGCTGAATTACCTTCCTGTTGAAGGGAGTGGGTCCTGACAGCTGTAACATATGTCACCTAACCTAAGACCCTCCTCTTCTTTTTGCTCATTCCAACATGAGAAAAACACTAGTTTCATTCCATTTTTTCAACATTAAACTGAACAATTGGGACTATTTTAAGGAGCATCACCTTTCCCTCTAAATAATGTACTTCTACTTTCAGTCTTTGGGTAGTTAAACAAGTCAATTCCAGATATTTACTATGTTTCTAATGACTTTATGCACTACTGATAAAGAAATCGCATTTCACTCATTAAAAATTATCCTAAAGAACTTCCCGATGTTTTATAGAAGCAATTGTAATAAAATAGTAATAATAAGTGTTACTGACAAACCCATAACAACATGATATGAACTGAAGTCGGGTTTGACCCACACAAAAGCTTACTGTATTTATGTGGATAACTACAGTCGTTTTTTCTATATGACCTGCTTAACAACCACACATACTGTATAATAGTCTCAGGTCACACAAAATATTAGCAAAGATTATGAGTACAAATTAACAGTATGCATGGTCTGCCCTCACCAGTCACACTTCCAAGACTGCTTTTAAAGAAAACTCTGGGCTTAATGCAATATTAAAGGCTGTATTTCACAAAATCCTTGTAATAACTTTGGACTGTACTCCTGCTGTGTTATGTTTCCTGTTTAAACTGAAGCCTGTTTAAAACTATCACCAGATGAGCACGCATGTTCTCTAAAAATTGGTATCAGCTCACTTTAAGAGCAAAAGCAAAACTAGGAACCCCAACTAGTCTCCAGAGCCACGCATTGTGAAATTTTGTGCAGAAAGAAGGGCCCATTGTTGGATATGTTAGCACACACAAACAGAAAATGATTTACTGAGATTATGAAATAGCCAAGTTAAGATGCTTTTTTTACAAATATGGGAGCAGAGAATGGAGTCGCATTGCTTGTTTGCATTTTTAGGGACTGTAGCCCACCACTTCTCCTGAATCACATCCATGAATATCATTTCTTCTCCAGGGGAGCACAGAGACATGTTACAACACAATTATGGGTCTCCTGTGCACTGCCAGAGGTTTGAATATTCTTTCAATATGTAGAGCTGAATTTGCTGGAGGAAATACAAAGATCAGCCTAAATCAATTTAATGTTCTCTGAAGGAAATTCAAAACCAAGGAATTACAGCAAGTATGAATTTGTGTTAGACAATCTGAAGGGGACACTCACTTGCTTCAGGGTGGCACTCTCAAAGAATTATTAGGGGTAGAGTCTTCTAAAGAAGTCTTTGACGCCAACTTTAGACATTCACATTTTTAAAAATAGCTTGTTTTTCAACAAGTCAGAATCCACAGGACCTTATTAGGACTGCCACCTCCTCAGCCTTCAGTGGGTGTCAGACCTCAGTGTCACTGGGTGAAACGTTTTCACTTCCTTCAATGACCTGCAATTTGAACGGGGGAACCCCT